ACCACCCACCTGCCTCCCACCTTTCAGGGAAGCTTCCTGGCACACAGGGGTGAGGTGCACACACAAACAACTACCAGAGGAGGGTTTTTCTCTTGCTTCTGGTTCTTTTCTAACAGATTATATTTAAAATAAGGTAAAAAGAAGGAACAAATTGCAGGAGAAACCTTGGTTAAAAAGCTCATTAATCACGTTTTTAAAACATCAGTGTGTAAGATTTAAACACAAAAAGTTTCTGATTGTGTTAAGTTTTGAAAACAAGCTGCTTTTCTTCTAGTATGTTTGCACGCAGGCCATGGCCTCCAATCACCTCCCACCTCTCAGGTCTCACCCAAATACTTCTCATTGGGTTGGTTTTACTCAGACGCTCACTCTTAAGTACCATGTTATCTGGAGCTTTTCCACTTTGAGATGAAAAGAGGTAAACAAAAGAAAAGACCCAAAGGTAAAAGGACAGATTCTGTTCTGGTGTTAGCAGTAACTCCAAATCCAATAACTTCTGTGTGTATGTCTATATATAGATAGATATATAAACACACACGTGTATATACATATACACAAACACATATGCAACACGTTTTTGGTTTTTTTTTTGAGACTGAGTCTTACCCTGTTGCCCAGGTTAAAGTGCAATGGCACGATCTTGGGTCACTGCAACCTCTGCCTCCCAGGTTCAAGCGATTCTCCTGCCTCAGCCTCCTGAGTACCTGGCACTACAGGCACCCACCACCACGCCCAGCTAGTTTTTTGTATCTTTAGTAGAGACAGGGTTTTACCATTTGGCCAGGCTGGCCTTGAACTACTGATCTCCTGATCTGCCCACCTCAGCCTCCCAAAGTGCTGGGATTACAGGCATGAGCCACCGTGCCTGGTTTTCTCTCTCTTTTCAGGGCCTCTTGGTGATGTAACAGTGAAACCCTCCCCCAGAAACCAGGGATATGTGGTCCTATAAATGTAAACACACTGGCACTATGAGGAACAGATAGCACTATTTCTAGCTCCCTCACTGGGGCTTCTGACCATTGCAACCTGAGATCCCTGGCTGCGAGCAGCAGAATCCAGACATCCACAAGTTATTGTTTTTATCCCTACGTTTTCATAATCCCAGAACTAAGCTCAAATTTTCTGAGTCCTGACTAAACTATTCCTAGAGAAAGCCAAAAATCATGAGAATGAGACTTTTTAACACTATTGCCACTGCAGTGTCCCGCTTGTTGTCTTAAAAGCATATACAGTGAAAAGACCATGGTAGTAACATCTGCCTCCTTTTCATTTGTGAGACCAGAACATCACATTCCTCGGCTTTTACACACCTTAGACACTTTTTTGCTAAAGGCTTGGGGCTTCAGTGAGCTGCTGAATATGCTCAGTCATCCAACTCTTCACTGTCCAGGAGTCATCCCTGCCTGGGAAGGTTTCAAGTTTCCCAGCAAGCACCAGTTCCCATGGGAGTGTGTCCTATAGTGAATAAATGTCAAATTCTCCCCGTGGCCAAAAGGTGAAGGGGAAGGAAAGAAAGAGAAAGTGAAAGAGAAAGGTCTTCGCTTTCAAGTAGAATCATCTAGTCCTCTGTTTGGCTGCTCAGAATTGGACTTGCAGAGTCTGTCCATGATGCCCTGGAGCATAGGCTGGACAATGCCCAAGAGAGGCCTCTTCAAGGGGTCGCCATCCCAACAGGCTTCCATCAACTGCCAGCACTCCTCATCAAACACAGGAAGACGTTCTGGGCGAGCCCCTAGAGAAAGGAGCATGGAAACAAGACCACAGTGAGAGGGACCCAGCACAACAGAAGCATGACCAGCCCAAAGGCTGACTTCCCAGTCGGGCTCAGGATACGAAAGAATGCAAGGAGTTTTGGCTTCAGTTGCAAACATCTAGGTTAGAACCTAACAGTAAGAGCGATTTAAAAAAAAAGGAGGAAGAAAAACTGCAACACATTGGCATATGAAGTTGAAGAATCAGAAATTTTTTTTACAAAAGACTTTTTGAGACAGTTCAATAAAAAGTTTCCTGGATGCAAAGGTTGACTTAAATATCTTTTCTGGATTCATGACAGTTTAAATGCATCTATGGCCCTGCTATGGAGTGGCCAGAAAGGATAACAGCAGGCCCTGCGACACTGCCTGGGCTCAATCTGGCCTAGCCAGGGGAGTTAGGACAGGGTAGTACATGTGGCTCTTACCCCTCCGCACATTGTTCCAGAGATGATCTTTGCTAGCACACCTCTCAAATGCCTCAGGGAGCTTGACAGAGCCTGAGCAGATATACCAGAAAAGAATTCCAAAAGCGTAGACATCCACGGAATTATCGTACTTCCCTGATGGCAAGAAAGCATGAAACATAATGAGCCACGGAAAGGCAGGCAGCAGCATCCACACCACCTTGCCTCAGTAGAGGTTTAGCTTTTTCCCAGGCTTTTAACATCTATTATCTCTCAGTAACAACCCTGCCAGGTAGGCAGGCCACATTTATAATGTCCATTTCATAATACAATCAACTAAGACATTGGGAGGCCATAGAGCAATACTAAGAGAGCCAAGCCTAGAAAGTGACAAAGGAGAAGGAAAATAAGGCCTTTCATTCTGCTAGGACAGTCAAAAGGATTAATCCCAAAAGGTCATATTAGGAAAATAAAGTTGGGAATATAGGTGGGTAGGTATGTTGGAACCAGAATATGATTATTTTTAAAGTCAGACAGAAGAGTCTGGATTCAGTGAGCAGCAGGAAGTCATTTATGCTTTAGAGTAGGAGGTGACATGAAGAACACAATATTTTAGAAAGATGATTCTGACAGCAATAGGGTGGACTGCGATAGAAACAATAAAAGGAATTTAAGTATGAAGTAGTCAAAATAGAATAATAGCAGCGGGATTAGAAAGTTTTTTTAAAAAAAGTAAATCTAGAGAAAGAAAAATGAAGACAGTCTACTTGGTTCAGATGTAGAGCATGACCACAGCTGTCTCAGTATCGCCTAATCCTTACATGTATCACTCAGGAAAGGGCTGGGGGAAGACTGGTGCATGAAATGAAAGAAAGTTAAATATATCGCTAGTTTTAACTCTTACCAATACTAATAACTGACCAGGGATTACCTTCCTCTCTTCCCTGGCAACAGAACAAGCATTCCCATCACTTGGGCTCAAAACCTTGGAGTCATCTTTTGGTCATCCTTTTCTGTTCACTAACCATATCAAGTTAGCACCAAACTCTTGCCCATTCTTCCTCTGAATTAATCTTGAGTTTCTCACATTTGTTTGTTTCAGCACTAATACCAGCTTAATCCTGGATGCAACCATAGAAGACCAGCTATCTGGTTTTCTCACCTTGGTTCTTCCCAATCAAATCATCTTTACCTACTGTTGCTAAGCTCATCTTCATAAATGTTTTCCTTTCTCCCCTACTCAAAAGCTTGGTAGTGCCTTAAGTCTTGCACAACAAGCCTTGATTCTTTTGTGGGAATTTCAAGCTCAATATATTTTTATCTCCAACCTTGTTTGCTACTATTCCCCAATGGATTTCTTTCATGTCATGCTTATTTCTATTCTGGATTTTCGTCATTATTTCCCCTTCTTTAGCCTCTAGAATTTTCTCTCCTTCATGCTACAGGGTTGTACTATGGAGACAGAATATCTTGGACTTAAATCACAGCTCCATTACCTTTTAGCTCAATGTTTTTGGGAGTACATTTCTTCATCAATCTGGTCTCAACTTTATCCATTAAATGGACATAAAAATCCATCAATATCACAGAACTAAACAAAATATATGAAAAATCTAACTATACTGCCTAGCTCAAGGTATATACTTACTAAGTTCCCTTCCCACCTACTAGTTTCCCAGATCTGACTCAAATTCTACTCAAAATCTCACCTCCATCACAAAACCACCAAATATTTCCACCTTCATTTACTCCTTCTCTAAACACCAACAGCACATTATATGCCAGTTAATTTAGCACCTAATCACACACTGTGTTGTACTGCTTCCGATTTTACCTCTCAATATATCTCTAAGTCAACTATAAGCTCTTTAATGTAGAGGACAACTCCTATTACACAGGAGTTATTCAGTCCATACTTTATGATTAGATAATTGGCTGACTGTGGCACTAACAACCCAGAGGGATGTCCAAATGATGACTCCTATTTGCACTTTTTCTTTCTTATTCCTTTACCTCTGCACTTTCCCCTCCACTTGCCTTAGGTAGGTCTCCCTGATTTAGTTTCTCCCTTGCCTGTATTAGACCTACAGTAGTGATTGTGAAATCTAGCTCAAGGGGTGGCACTCAGGATGAAAGTAATATACCCTGCCCAGACCCACTGCCTGCCCTCCAGCCTTACCTGTGAAAAGTTCAGGGGCCATATGGATTGGTGTCCCCACAATGCTGCCTGACATCATGGCCTCTGGCTTGCAGAATCCTAAGTCAGTGATCTTGGCACGGTTCTGCTTGTCCAGCTGCCAACAAAGCAGGGCAAGAGTCACCTTGTTTTTGATCTGCACACAGCACTGCTGCATACCCAAGCTCAAAGGTAGGTATCCCAAAGTAGGATTATGATCTGAAAAATGAGTCGTCAGGTGATTTCATCCTTGTGCAAACACCAGACTGTGCTTACATGAACCTAGGTGGTATACCTGCTACACCCCTAGGTGATATGTTAATAGTATGGTCTTTTGCTACTAGACTACAAACCTGTACAGAGTGTTACTGTACTGAATACCACAGGCAACAGTAACCGTGGTATTTGTGTATCTAAGCAAACTTAAACACAGAAAAGGTACAGTAAGAAGACGATATAAAAGACAAAAAATGGTATACTTGTAGAGGGCATTTACAATGAATGGAGCTCCCAGAAGTGGGAACTGCTCTGGGTAAGTCAGTGAGTGAGAGGTGAGTGTGAAGGCCTAGGACATTTTTACTACAGGCTTTATAAACAGTGTACACTTAGACTACACTTAATTTATTTTTTAAAGTATTTTTCTTTTCTTTTCTTTTTTTTAAACAGATTCTTGCTCTGTTGCCAGGCTGGAGTACAGTGGCACGATCTCAACTCATTACAACCTTCGCCTCCCGGGTTCGATTAATTCTTCTGCCTCAGTCTCCTAAGGAGCTGGGACCACAGGAGCACACCACCATGCCCAGCTAATTTTTGTATTTTTAGTAGAGACAGAGTTTCACTATGTTGGCCGGGATGGTCTCGCTCTCTTGACCCTGTGATCCACCCGCCTCAGCCTCCCAAAGTGCTGGGATTACAGTCACTATGCCCGGCCAAAAGTTTTTCTTCAATAATAAATCAACCTCCACTTACTGTAATTTTACTTTATAAACTTTTATTTTTTAAGCTTTTTGTTTGACCCTTTTATAATAAACACTTAGTTTATAACACAAACACACTGTATAGCTGTACAGAAATATTGTATTTATTAATATCTTTACGCATCCCCCCCCCTTTTTTTTTTCTTTTTTTTAGAGACAGGGTTGTACTCTGCCTTCCAGGCTGGAGTGCAGTGGCACAATCACAGCCTTGAACTTTTGGGCTGCCTTGAGCCATATGGCTTCACACCGTGGCTTCCTAAGCAGCTAAGACTACAGTTGTGTGCCATCGTGCCTGTCTGATTTTTTTGATTTTTAGTAGAGATGGGGTCTTTCTCTGTTTTCCAGGCTGGTTATAGGCTTTTTTTCCTATTTTTAATATTTTTTTTTTAACTTTTAAAACTCTTTTGTTAAGAACTGAAACATGGACTTATTAGCCTAGGCCTGCATGGGGTCAGGATCATCCATATCACTGTCTTCCACCGCTACATCCTGTCCCACTGGAAGGTCTTCAGGGACAACACACATGGAGCTGTCACTTCCTATGATAGCAACACCTTCTTCTGGAATTCGTCCTGAGGTCCTGCTGTCCTTACTGGTTTATATATTTACCATGCTATACCTTTTATTGTTATTTTAAAGTATCTAAAAAGTATAAAAAGATTAAAAGTACAGTAAATATATAAACCAATAACATAGCTGTTTCTTATCAAATATTATATACTGTACATAATTGTGCTATACTTTTTTTTTTAATAGAGATGGGGTTTCACCACATTGGTCAGACTGGTCTTGAACTCCTGACCTCAGGTGATCCACCCACCTTGGCCTCCCAAAGTGCTGAGATTAGAGGCGTGAGCCGCCTCACCCGGCCCTGTGCTATACTTTTGTACCGGTAGCTTTGTTCACACCAGCATCACCACACATGGGTATTTCACTGTGCCGCAACATTACGTCAGCTGTTTTTGAGATGGCGTCTTGCTCTGTCTCCCAGGCGGGAGTGCAGTGGTGCGATCTCAACTCACTGCAACCTCTGCCTCAGTCTCCTGAGTAGCCGGGACTATAGGCACCCACCACCACACCTGGCTAAATTTTGTATTTTTAGTAGAGATGGGGTTTCACCATGTTGGCCATGATGGTCTCGATCTTCTGACCTTGTGATCCACCTGCCTCAGTCTCCCAAAGTGCTGGGATTACAGGCATGAGCCACTGCGCCCGGCCCCATTATAATCTTAAGGGACTACATCATGTATGTGGGCTCAATGACCAAAATATCATTATGCAATGCATGACTGTACTTCATAAATCCTGCCACCAACCTTCCTGTCTCCAGGTTCATTTCCATTACAGATTGAGTATCCCTTAGCTGAAAGGCTTGGAACCAGAAGTGTTTTGAATTTCACATTTTTTTCCAGATTTTGGAATGTATGCATCATACTTGCTGATTCAGCACCTCTCATTAAAAATCCAAAATCCAAAATGCTCTGGTGAGCATTCCCTTTGAGGGTCATGTCATTGCTCAGAAAGTTTCAGATTTAGGAGCTTTTTGGATTAGGAATATTCAACCTGTACTGTCTTCCTCCCCACATTGTGAAGAACATGAGGGCAGGGACTGCCTTTTTCATCTTTGTATCCCCAGTGCTTAATGCAGTACCCGGTACATATGAAGATCCTAACAAACCCTGGATGAATAAGGAAGTATAGGTCCATGGAAGGACACCAGTGAAACACTTCAGCTCCTGCCTCTCCTCCCAACCTCAGGACAGAAAGTTGAGGTCCTCCAGTCAGCTGAGGAGCGTTTCCTAAAGTCCCTGTAGTTTCCTTTCCTAGGTTGAAGAGAATAAGTCTGTCTAATTTGGCTACTGACTAGACTTTTAGGTTTCAGCTGTCAATTTTAAGGAGATCTTTCCCTTCCCCTAAATTGCTGCCATCTTTATACATCATTTAAGTATTGCCAGAAACAATTTAATGATCACTTCCCTTTCCACCGTGATTGTAAGCTTCCCGAGGCCTCCCAAGCCCTGCGGAACTGTGAGTCAATTAACCTTCTTTCCTTTACAAGTTATCCAGTCTCAGGTATGTCTTTACTTAGCAACGTGAGAATGGACTAATACAATAAATCAGTGCCAAGAGTGGGCTACTGCTGGAAGGATACCTGAAATTGTGGAAGCGACTTTGGAAATGGGTAACAGGCAGAGGCTGGAACAGTTTTGAGGGCTCACAAGAAGACAGAAAAATGTGGGAAAGTTTGAAACTTCCTAGAGTTTCAAACTTTGTTGAATTGAATGGCTTTGACCAAAATGCTGATAGTGAGATGGACAATGACGTCCAGGCTAAGGTGGTCTCAGATGAAGATGAGGAACTTGTTGGGAACTGGAGTAAAGGTCACTCTGGCTATGCAAAGAGACTGGAGGCATTTTGCCCCTGCTGTAGAGATCTGTGGAACTTTGAACATGAGAGAGATGACTTAGGATATCTGGTGGAAGAAATTTCTAAGCAGCAAAGTATTCAAGCAGAGCATGAAAGTTTGGAATATTTGCAGCCTGACAATGTGATAGAAAAGAAAACCTATTTTCTAGCTGGGCATGGTGGCTCACTCCTGTAATCCCAGCACTTTGGGAGGCTGAGGTGAGTGGATCACTTGAGGTCAGGAGTTCAAGACCAGCCCGGCCAACATGGCGAAACCCCATCTCTACTAAAAATACAAAAGTTAGCCATGCATGGTGGCAGGCACCTGTAATCCCAGCTACTCAGGAAGCTGAGGGAGGAGAATTGCTTGAACCAGAGAGGTGGAGCCAAGATTTTGTCATTGCACTCTAGCCTGGGGAATAAAGTGAGACTCCATCTCAAAAAGAAAAAAAGAAAAGCTATTTTCTGGGGAGAAATTCAAGCCCACTGCAGAAATCTGCACAAGTAACGAGGAGCTCAATGTTAATCACCAAGACAATGGGGAAAATGTCTCCAGGGCATGTCAGAGACCTTCACAGCAGCCCCTCCTATGACAGGCCTGGAGGTCTAGAAGGGAAAAATGGTTCTGTGGGCTGGGCCCAGGGCCCCCCTACTCTATGGAGGCTTGGGACATGGTGTCCTGCATCCCAGCTGCTTTGGTTCCAACTGTGGCTAAAAGAGGCCAAAACATAGCTCAGGCCGTTGCTTCAGAGGGTGCAAGCCCCAAGTCCTGGCAACTTACAGGTGGTTTTGGGCCTGCGGGTGCATAGCAATCAACAACTGAGGTTTGTGAACCTCCACCTAGATTTCAGAGGATGTATGGAAATGCCTGGATATCCAGACAGAAGTTTGCTGCAGGGGTGGAGCCCTCAGGGAGAACCTCTGCTAGGGCAGTGCAGAAGGGAAATGTGGGGTTGGAACCCCCACAGAAAGTCCCCACTGGGACACTGCCTAGTGGAGCTGTCAGAAGAAGGCCACTGTCCTCCAGAACCCAGAATGGTAGATCTACCCACAACTTGCACCATGTGCCTAGAAAAGCCAAAGACACTCAATGCCAGTCCATGAAAGCAGCCAGGAGGTGGGCTGTACCCTGCAAAACCACAGGGTGGAGATGCCTAAGACCATGGGAGCCTACCTCGTGCATCAGTGTGCCCTGGATGTGAGACATGGAGTCAAAGGAGATCATTTTGGAACTTTTAGGTTTAATGACTGCCCTATTGGATTTCAGACTTGCATGGGGCCTGTAGCACTTTTGTTTTGGCCAATTTCTCCCATTTGGAATGGGTATATTTATCCAATGTCTGTACCCTCATTGTATGTAGAAAGTAACTAACTTGCTTTTGATTTTACAGGCTCACAGACAGAAGGGACTTGCCTTGTCTCAGATGAGACTTTGGACTTGGACTTTTGAGTTAATGCTGGAATGAGTTAAGACTTTGGAGAACTGTTGGGAACACATGATTTTGTTTTGAAATATGAGGACATGGCCAGGCACAGTCATGCCTATAATCTCAGCACTTTGGGAGGCTGAGGCGAGTGGATCACCTGAGGTCAGGAGTTCCAGACCAGCTGGACCAACATGGAGAAATGCTATATCAACTAAAAATACAAAAAAAAAAAAAAAAGAGCCGAGTGTGGTGGTGCATGCCTGTAATCCCAGCTACTCAGGAGGCTGAGGCAGGAGAATTGCTTGAATCCAGGAGGCAGAGGTTGTGATTAGCTGCGATCATGTCATTGCACTCCAGCCTGGGCAACAGGAGTGAAACTCTGTCTAAAAAAAAAAAAAAAAAAAAAAAGAGAGAAAAGAAATGTGAGGACATGAGATCTGGGAGGGGTCAGAAGCAGAATAATAAGAGAGTGTGTCCCCACTCAAATCTCATCTTGAATTGTAGTTCCTATAATACCCATGTGTCATGGGAAGGACTCAGTGGGAGGTAATTTAATCATGGGGGAGGTCACCCTCATGCTGTTCTCATGATAGTGAGTTCTCACGAGATCTGATGATTTTGTAAGGGGCTTTACCCCCTTTTGTTTAGTACTTTTCCTTGCTGCTGCCATGTGAAGAAGAATGCATTTGCTTCTCCTTCTGCCGTAATTGGAAGTTTCCTGAGGCCCCTCCAGCCCTGTGGAACTATGAGTCAATTAAACCTCTTTTATAAATTACAATTTTATTAATTTTATAAATTACCATTTAGTCCATTCTCATGCTGCTAATAAAGATATACCCAAGCCTATAATAAAGATATATACCTATCTTGGGTATATCTTTATTAGCAGCATGAGAATGGACTAATACACTTTCTGTGTGGACTTTTCTTAGTACCAAACTTACATTTACGTGTACCCTCCAAAATCACTCAGCCACAGAGGTAGGGTATAATCCTGGGGAAACAGCTCTTACTTACCAGCACATTTTTCAGTTTGATATCACGATGAACAAGTCCCTGGCTGTGCAGGAAGCGGACTCCCTCCACCACATCTAGTGCTATCTGCAAACGTGTCTCCAGGGTCAGCCCAGCCTTGGGGAGACAAAAG